GAGTAAGTGCATCTGCGGTGGCCGTCACTGAGAACGATTTTGATCCATATCAGAATTTGCCTCAAGCCTTCATCAGTGTTTACCATCCCAAGGACTTCAACCAGGTAGGCAAGAAGTCTACACCTCCCGACATCACTGGCTGGCTTACACTAACTGTTATGGATTTCATAAACTGATGAAGCTATGTATTGGTTTGACCACAATCATCACTAGCTCTTTTCCAACCTGATACTTCCTATATCAGCTAACATTGCCCGTCGGTCGAGGAAGGCGATGACTAGGCAGGCAGGAGTAACACATGTCCTAATCATCTCAATCAGCCTAGCTTTACAACCTTGTCGATTGATTTCCCCTCCAACTCATCTAGCACTCGACCTATGCCTAACTTTAATATTGCTCACCTTATTATACCACCACTTGACACGGGAGATATAATGTAGACACCTATGATCAAATACAGCTAGCCGGCCTTTTCATGTTTTCCACTTTCAATGACCAGCCATAAAGAAGAACAGTGTGAACAGCTGAGCAGTACACACGTCTTTGGTCTATAACCAGCCGGAAATCACGTCTATTATGGCAGAGATGGCGTAAGTTGGCGGGCATATGCGAACCGAGCCTTCTGTATCCGTGGTGAGATTTCGTCAGCAATCAACTCGCTGAGTCTGACTGATGCAACTTCGCCCAAAATAAGTGAAGTGCTCATCACACGCTACTACATCCCTCACTCCCCTCTATCTTTAAGCTAGGAGTCGATGTAGTCCAGTCCTGTAGCATCATCTTACATTTGATAGCAGGAGAGTATCTCATGCCAAACATTCGAAGATTGCTGCTCAAGGTGTTCAGAAGAAGAATGAATTAGCAATGAGAAACTATGGCAATAAACCAACCAAGAATCTATCACTTAACAAACATGTGAAGAAAATGGTGATGGATTGGGCACACGCTGATGAGAACGTTGCGCGATGAGTCGCGCATAGGTCCAAGAGTAACATGGAATAGATCGAGTGAGAAGAAGATGAGAGGCTATGGGCAATCGAGGGGCCATCTAAAGACGACCATATAGGGCTACAGAGCTGCCGCATATCCTTAGCTCGGAGAGTCCAGGTTTCACAGGCGTAGGGCGAGACAGCCCGCAGCGAATCATTGTATACCCGACCTTTGACAGCCAAGCTAACGTCCCGATGGCACCACAGGTGGCTCAAGTTAACGTATGCCACTAACTTTCATGATACGGTTGGAAATCTGTTCCGTCACCCACCCCCCGCCAGCACTCACACAACTTCAAGAGGTCCACGTGTAACACTGAGTGCAGGTACAGGCTCCATCCCCAATCTCGTAACAGTACTTTGCACTAAGACAGAGCAAAGCACATACCATACTTACAGATACTGTCACCTATAACATAACCTGTGTCCACGCTAAAATAGGCCGTTTATCAAGGCCTTCTCTTATATTGTAAGGGACAGAAACTGTGATAATGAAAATACTGTCCCCCTGTCCAAGTAGGCTTTCCAGTTATCGATCGCTTTATTGAACCAACCTCTGCCTTCTCGACTCAAAAGTATGTCTAGGTATGCAAGTTGATTGCAACCTTCTCTTCCTGAAATACGCAAAGGTTGACGGTTTTGTTCATTTTAGATTGATTAATCTTCTTTTTTTCATACTCATTACATAGTTATAATTACAAATTCTGTCTCTTATTTTTCTAATCTCCAATTAGTCATCTCCATATCTAGATTAGATTACACTTCACATTACGTAATAACAGACTTTTTTTTAGAACATAGTTACCAGTAATCTGATTAGCTTTTTTGTGTGAACTCTTTGCTAAATGTATATGAATGCAATTGCACAGTTTATCATTTGAAAAAATAATAATAATTCGTCAAAAACTGAGATTTTCTTTACTGTTTGCATTCTCCTTCGGGCACAGGTCAACAGTGGCATCCCATGGAATGCGGACGCACGAATGTGACCTTCAGCCGACCAATCATAAAATTGGGGGATTTTTGCACAAAAAGCGACGTATATTTACAAGAAAATGCATGAATTCTCTGACATGACTTAAAAATACATCCCAGTTATAATTAGGAGTATCAGTTGCTAGGTAAGACTAGTTTCTGTACGTGTATTCACTGAGGTAACTGAAGATTAGCTGTTTCTGTGAATCGTTCATCTCTCTTATCCTGTTGTGCAATCTTCCTCAAAAGCCCTCGGTTGGACTACTACGGTATCCAATCCAGTAAGAGGATCGACGATTACTTACCAGGAAAATGTGGGTCATAAAACAAATTAAAATCAATGACATCAACTATAAGTCTATCCCTAATAGTAAATCTAGCCTTCATCCTAACCCTAATTATCACCCTGATTCTAACCCTAACTGTAATAACTACCTTAACAACTAATCCTACCCATAAAGAGCTATTAATACAGTATCCACACAGTATTTTGAAAAGTGATTTGGGTGAAATTTGCTCCTTAATTGGTGAATAGAGTTGATATTTTGGCTATGATAATGACAGGTGCCATTAGCCAACGACTAGCATGCGTTCAAGGTCACTGGAGCGTTCACACTCCTGGGACGCTATTGTTGAACTTCACCCTCCTTTGTTTATGACTCAGTATGCGGCGAAATTCCACTCAGTCAAAGATAAACTTAAACACAATGATTTAGAGTATATCCTTCTAGGTGAAAGCGTTGAACACCTTGGAGCACAGAAAGCTATGTTGATATGTTCCGCATACGATTCACTCATGTCAAATGTAAGCTGTTGGCAGTGGACAAGTTTTTGCATCGACTAATCTAGTTGAGAAAGATAAGCAGTGAAGTGATTCAGCGTGTTGACCGTTTCACTTATTTGGCGAGTTGCATCAACCCTAATGGATACAAAAGGCTCATATGACATTTACCAATCACCTTCGTCTTTGCAGCACACATGATATATGACTGAGCATTGTCGGGAGAATGTATTACACAGCAGTTCATTCTGTATTTCTTCATGACTATGAGATATTGCCGCTAGTTGTCTTAGACCATGCCTGTTTGTATTCTTTTCATTTGCGTTAAGTGGTATAATAAAGTGTGTATTAATGAGGTGAAGTGTAAGATCCCACCATCTCAATTACCCAAAACCAGGTAGTCTACATCTGCCGATGTGGTTTAAAACCAACAATCAAAAACCTCATGGATTGGTGACATACCTTCGTCTGCTCAACTCCAAAACTGTATACCCTTATCCTACCTCAGACAGAATGTCCATCGATCGGATAGGGTGACTGTTCAGCATAAGTAACACATCCTAGCCATATATATGGATACCCAATAATTCACTAGATGGTTCAGGTAATTATTTCTGTCAGAACATTTAAACCAGAACAGCTTTTCTAAGATTAGATGGATCCCCCTTGATTACTACTTCATAGAATTTTCGTCATCTGCATACAACTCTAACTGTGAATAGCCAGTTCATGTTATAGGAGTAGAACAATATGCCAAATATGGAAGCTAGGGAAAAATTATACATACACTTCACTCACTCCACTCTGTCCAGTGCCGTAGCATCATCTTACATTTCACAGGTGCAAATCACATGTCAAACATTCGAAGATTGCTACTCGTCAAGGTGTTCAGAAGACTATGCGTTTTATTAGCTTCTTCACTCGGGAGGGGAGGACTATATCATCCATATATTCTAAGTCAACAAGACTATTTATGCCCCGGTAACAGATTAATCCCTAAATGGTTGGAGAGTCAGCTAGGGTCAATTTCATTAGTATTTCCATTCAAAACTCTCAATGTTTCATACTTAAGACTCGATTGACTTTAATGAGCATCTATGTACCTTATTTTACAAGGAGTTATAGATGATATAGTCAAAAGAAATTTGACAGTAGGAATACAAACTACAAGGGGTAAAAGTAAAGCATCACATTCACCTTTTCAATAGCATAAAACAAATATCAGGAAGTAAAAGCCAAGCATATAGTTAATTACACAACAATCAATGAATATTAATGGGGAAAAAATGTAAGAATAGAACTTGTGCGCTGTCATAGAGTATAATTCTACTATGGGTAAAGCACCTTGCAATGACTGTGAGGTCAACTTATATAAGTAAATGTTACTGTATAACACTGTGAAACTTTATTAAAATAAATTTTACCCATAAGGGGAAAAAAGAATGATACGAACAGCTAAGCCTATGAGTTTACACCACCTAGTTTACTAACCAGCCCAAAATCTGAAAAAAAAGAAAGTTTGGGGGGTTCGGGGGGCTAGCGACCCTACCCCGGAAAATCAATCCAACCGCTACAGAAACTTCATCGCTGAAATTAAAGATACGAAATAAAGCTGCCTGGTGAAAGCCTTCGGGATATCAGTCAGCCAATGTGTCTTCTTCCGATGAAAGCAAAAATAAGCATCGGGGGGTGGGGATATGGAAATGCTCGCAATTGTGAATCCCGGAGCGCAGGGTAATAATTATAAGCCTTACCACCCCCAAGAGTAGGTAGACTTCACCTTGAAATGCTCTCATTTTGCCATACGCGTTCATAACCTCTGCCAGATAAAAGTCCTACCGACTGCCATTCACATAAAAATGTAAGGGTGAATATGAACGTAGGTCCACACCTAGGAGAACAGGAAAACCCTAATTCCAAACCTACGGTGTGCACGGGTTCAAGGCTCCGAAAACATCGAACGGCGTGTAAAAACCATTTGACCGTAGTTTCCGACACTACACCTCCATTGCACTGTGTCAGAATCAGACATCAAGCCAAAGGCAGTAGGTGTAGGGTTAGGGATGGCTCCTCAAAACAACCCCACATGCATCAGTCTGGACATCTGAACAACAACATCCCACCCTTCACACAAACTATGAGAACTTGTGTGGCGCGGGTCTCGGTGGCCATGATGTATCAAAGTTGTGTGTTAATAATACTAATAATAATGTTATAGCAATAAAAAACAAGAGGAAATACAACAGACGACTTACACGAATGATAGTAGTCATTTAGAGATAGAAATCCAAAATTAAATGCTCCCTTTTGTGCACACTGAAAGTAGAAAGCGGAAAAAAAAGAAAATAATAAAAATTTACATATATACAAGTTTGTTTATATGCAGACAAATATTCAATAATAAATTCATCCTACTAAACATACTCAGTTGATGAGACCGACTGGTTTCAATATAGAAATTTTCACACATGTGAAGCACTTCGAGTTGACACACTCGCCCCCCCCCCACCCCACCCAATGTAGCACACAAAACAAGAGAAGACATCAGGTAAAGAGAGATTCAAAAGAGAGAGAAAAAAAAACACAAGTGAGAGTGAGGGAAAAAGAATAGCAACGTGGAAGGACAAAAGAGTTTTTTATTGGATACGACAAATCACAAAGGGTGAATGCATCTGCACCCGCCATTGACAACGACGACTTTCAGCCATATCACCGATTATCTCCAGCTGCCGTCACTGGTTTTTACCATCCCGAGGACACCAACCAGGAAGTTTACACCTTCCAACCTGATCCATTTTGTGTCAGCTTGCATTGCCCATTGTAGAGAAGAGAAATCGATGGCTGGGCAGGTATGCGTAACACATATCCTAACCATCTCAATCGATGTAACTTCACAACCTCGTCTATTGATTTCACCTCCTTACCTGACAGGCTCGACGCCTAACCTCTATATTACTCACCTTATTATACCACCAAACCAATGTAGATAGAATACAAACACCTATGATCACAAACAGCTAGCCAGGCTTATCATGTCCTCCACTTTCAATGACCATGTCTTACAGCCAGCCATAAAGGAGCAAACTCCTGAGCAGTAAACACGTCTTCTGATCGACAGTCAGATATCACGTCTACTAAGCCAGAGATGGCGTCATTTAGCACATGCAAAACGAGCCTTGTGTATCCGTGGTGGCGATAAACCTGCTGGGGCTGGCTGATGCAACTTCCCTCCCAAATAAGTGATATGGTCAACACACTCAACCACTTCACTCATTTCCCTCCGTCTTTAAGCTAGGAGTGAGTCAATGTAGTCCAGTCCTGTAGCATCACCTTACCTTTGACAGCAGGAACGATTCGCACGCCAAACCGTTGCTGGGATCAGATTTTGAGACTATGCGCCATACATTTATTGCATGTGGGCTACAGATACTTACTACCCCAGTTAGTTACCCAAAATAAATGAAATAGGCGGAGCAGGATTCAGATTCATGGCCCATTTGCTTGTGTAGTTAACTGCTTAACCCAGTGAACCAGTGACTAACGTGACCAGAGACATTAACAATTGCCACATGAGTAGCACAATTCTCACTCTTGTGCATGATTACACGATTATGGTGAATGAGATTAGAAGTGATCTTTATTTTGTGTGTAAAAGACGAAAGTAGATCTTACTTATACAGGGACACTTGATGGTACAATGAGGGCTATACAGTATATGATTGTCTGTCAAGGCCATGTGTTTAAATGCAAAGCTTCACTTGACACCAATATTTAGGTTATGAATTTCATTTGAATTCCATCAATTTCGATATAGATTTAGTCACTAACAGACGCTAGTTAAAGAACAATTGAAAAAAGGAGCACTTAACGGCTATTCCTGATTACGGTGGAATAGATTATACTGCAGGCTGTAGGGAGCGAAAAGACATGAAATACGTTGGAACAACAAGAAGACGTCTCTAGACTAGCTAGATTCCGAAGATGATTTATGATGTCTAATGTCACACAAACTCGAGCTGGCTGGCTGGATTCAACATAGAACTTGGCACCGAAGTGCAGCACTTCAAGTTGCCACGTTCCAAATAGCACACAAAGGTAGACAAGAAGATGAGTGAAGAGAATCAATAGAGTTTTGACAAGGATAAGAGTGAAAGAGAATGAGTAATGGTAGAAAGGAATATGAAAGATTACACAAGAGACTGAATACATCTGCGTAAGCTATTGACAACGATTTTGAGCCATGTCACCTATTGTCTCCAGCCATTGATTCTTAGAGTCCCGAGGGCGGACCCCAACCCGAGAGTCTGCATCTCCCTACCTGACTCAGTTTAACTGTCAGGGATTTCATGGATTGATGCCATGTTTTTGTTTGGCCACCACACACACACACAAACTCGAGCACTAACAGCCAACAAGTTGGCAGAACAACAAGTCAAGACAGGAATTCGAATGAACATAAGAGCAGACAGAGCTGATGAAGATACCCCGAGTGCCCAAAATAACAAGCACCAATCATTAACCAATGGAAGAAATTCACTTCTTTCACGTATCTAGTCAGCTAAAAAACCTCACGGAACAGGATACCAAAGCCAGATAGGACCGGAAAGGCAAGACAGACTTTTGCCACTCTGAAATCAGTGTAGAAATCCACTGCAATGAGCATAGAGGACAAGTTTCAGATTTCCAATACTAATGTCAAGTTAATTCTTCTATATGGTTCAGAGACTGGGTACATGCGTCACTAAAAGAATTTTCAACAAGTTTCAGACTCCTAATCAACAACTGTTCCCTTCGCTCAATACCGAAGATCAGACGGTCGGCCAGTTGGGAAGAATAAGCAGCAAGGAACTCCTCCAGGCAATAAAACATCCAAGAACCCATTGCGTAACCAATGAGAAGAAGAAGAAAATGGAGGTAGACCGAACTCATGCTAAGGAGGCCGTTCAGTGTAACCCATATTGGGGACGATGAGTTGGACATGGGTTCGAGGGTGAAATGGAGTAGATGAAAGCTTATGGGCATTAATGCAATCGGCTGAAGAGGATATAAGAGAACAGGACAAAATACTGATATGCTATTTCATAATAATGATATATTGTACGGCTGTTTCACCCCAATTTGAAGCTCTTCAGCGATGCACATCCACTGTGTCCCAGTCAGGGACACTCAACTTATCCGTCCAACATCCACTGACCATTCAGCTACTGGGACAGAATCCAATATCCCATGAATGCCACTCCCCAATCAACTCGCAGTATATAGTGTCAGCACCAGCACCAATATTATCTGCGAGTACCTTACCTTGATCGACCACACTAGCCTTAACTTCTCACAATAACCTCAGGTAATCCCCATCTTGCATATAATTAGTATTTTTCAAGTGTTAGTTTCCAAGCATTTGATTGATCACAAACAAACATCACAAACAGATATCGCGAATTGGCAGAAATCAGAACCTGATGAGATATTGAATTCCAAAGCCCAGTGAGTAGCTGAGTGGTCCATACACTTTGCTGTATAACCCAGAGGTCCTGGATTCGAACCCTGATGGGTTAGGGTGCGTACTACTGAAGAGTCTAGAAACCAAGACGAAACAGCTACGCAATACCACCCCCCTCCAGAACTAGGTTTACAAAGGTTCTCTAACTAATGTCTCGAGTTAAATATCAAGCAAATCCTAGCGGAGCATAACACGACGGAGACTTATTGAGTCCAACAATAGGAAAATATCTAAAACAGGAATATCAAGGTAATATATGTGTAAGGCTTGGGCACTGTGGTAGTAAGTAATTCCATATTAGTTTGTTTATTAGATACATTATTATTATTTACTGGATGACACAGTTTCGAACACAACTCACTATTGTTCATAATCATTTCATCATTTATTATCACACGATTTCGAAACTTGAGTTTTACAGTTTTCTTTGTTCTCTCCTATTTGTCGTCGCAGGGGAAGTAAAATTTTCCAGATATCTGAGTGGACAGGTGTTAAATCATTCCTATTGCACGTATTCTCCTTTAGTTGATTCGATAAATAAAGCCTTGTTTATCAATCTCTTCCTCCACCCTGTGACATTAGATTTTAGAACTGTCATCTTATCCCATCCATTAATTGTATGCAATGAGTGCTATAGCTGAACTATTCACTAGATTTCTTATCTTATTTGGGTCAACTAATCTAGATTTTGCTAAGTTTTTATGCTCGGCTAGTCTGACTGCCCCTGTTTTACTACTTTGACCTATGTATTTCACCTGACAATCATTGCAGGCAGGGTATTAGATAAACTAAATTGTTTTGTTTAATTGGCTCCACAGGATCCACCATTTAACCGACAAAGCTTGTTTCTAATTGAGTTTGTGGGGGGTTGAATGCCAGCCACTTTTATTCCTGCCTACCTTGTTAAGAATTCTTCTTAAGGTTTTCAAAGTTCCTTCTTTGTATGGAAGTACTACTAATGATTTAAATTCCTTATTGTTGGTGTTGTCATTACCCTGCGCGTATTTGACATGCATGTTGTCATTATTATTATTATTATTATTATTATTATTATTATCACTACCATTATTATTTATATTATTTTTACGTTTTCCTACATACTTCCTGATTAATTTATCAGACAAATTATTAGTTAAGTTTTAAAGCTTCTCTTATAGATTAGTTGACCCAAATGAGATAAGAAATCTGGAGAATAGTTCAGCTATGGTGCTCACTACATGCAATTACACACAACCACACAGTAGAATGGGATAGGATAGGATGACAGTTTTAAAATCTTATGTAACATGGTGCAGGGAGAGATTAATAACAGAAGCTTTTTTTATCAAATCAACTGCGAACCAACACGTGTAATAGGAATGATTTAACACCTGTCCACTCAGATATCTGGAAAATTCTACTACCCCAACGACGACGACAATTAGGAGAGAACAAAGAAAACTATAAAATTCAAGTTTCAAAGTCGTGTGATTATAATTGATGAAATGATTATAAACAGTAAATTTTGATCGAAACATCATCCAGTAAATAATACTGTTTCACAGATTGTGTGATACATCTAATAAACAAACTAATAAGGAATACCAGGGACTAACTAATCTAACTCAAGCCCAAATAATAATAATAATAATAATAATAATATTAAAAATAATCAAGAATGGGATGTTGGATATATATATATATATATATATATATATATATATATATATATATACAAAAGACAAGAAAAGAGATTAGTAACCGGTCAATATACATAGGTAGAGAGGTAACCATAGTAACCAGCGACAATAACAACAATCATGAAGCCTGATTACTA